ACATACTATCGCCAAAACAGCCCCTTACAGGGGAACACATCTCTTTTAAGCTTTAAGGAACACAGTAGGCCTATTATTTTATTTCTATTAAGAATACAGATGTATATAATTTAATGAAACTAAAACATTTTAATTAACAAGCATTTCCATGCAAATGGAAGGTACTAGTGATTATTATACTATTGTTATTTCATCATCAAGTCACTCACATCCCAGTGGAAGCAGATGTTGGAGGTTATGGACTATGTGGGCTAAATGGGACACTTATAATTTTATGGCATAAGGATTATGCTATGCCCTTTGCCATTAATGGATAATCAAAGCCTATTTGTATGATTTCTGCAAAAAGTGCATCATAATAAATACCTCAAATGTCTCATCTCTATTGTTCTTATAATTGTAGTCTTCTAACTGGCCTTATAAAAGCAATAGGCATTATGTAGTATGCATAAACAGGGCGTTAGCCACTTAGCTCCGCAGCTAATCTAGGATACTTTGTGCTAAACAAACTGTGGCCAGCTGTAACTCTTCCCAGTATTGACTCGCCACGGCCCTGTCTCTTCTGTGGACAATATAGTTGCTGTAGATTTTCTGAACAAGTGGCTGCAGCACACATTCGCGTTAGCTTTAGCGTTAGCTCTGCTGCTAAACTAGGCTGCTTTGTGCTATGTGGTGACAGTGAAAACTCTCTCCTACCTCCGTGCGGGTGTCTCTCCATGCCCTGTGTCCCTCTGCGCGGCTGCTCCTCTCCTGTCTCCTTTGTGGGTGTATAATTACTGCAGAAATGCATAAACTTCCCCTTGACAGAAAAGACGCTCTGTTGTCCTTCCCCACGGAGCATGCGCAGTGCTGACTTTGTGTGTGGTTGTGTATATTTTCCCGCGGTTGTGTATAATTCCCCTTTTTCCCGCGCGGGAGAAACCCACCACTAGGGGCAGTGGCGGACACACAAATTTACCACTTTTCTCAGGTTTCTGGATTAAAAAGACTTTTGAGAAAACCACTTTTTAGGCATTAAAAAATGCATAGAAAACGATTTAGAATGTAATTTTTATGAGGACAGCAAATTGTCCTCCTAAACCGGAGGGTCCTCCTTACTCGGAGAAAAGTCTTGAAAATCGGCCTTGTAAACCAGAAAACAAACACACACACACACACACACACACACACACACACACACACACACACACACACACACACACACACACACACACACACACACACACACACACACAGATGCTAGTGTTGGTGTGGTCTTCCAGGTCCTCACAAAGGCCTTTAATTCTGCAAACCACGGCTTTCTCATTTCAAAACTATCCATAATCCAGAAACACTTCCCTCCAAATCATTCTTATCCCACAGGATCCAGGCCTCCAGCTCTGGCAACCAAGCACAATATGTTAAAAGTCCAACAGGTGTCCCCCGAGGCACTGTTCTGGGACCTTTTCATTTAGATTTTATACATGCATTGTGAGCTGATAAGAGCCATGGTGCACAGCAGGCAACGAACCAGTGTCCATAAATGTTAATAAACGTTAATAAATGTCTCGGATCATCACTGTCGTTTCACCCTCCTGCATAATAAACTTTTCTGCTCCAAGTAAAACAGTTATTATAAGTTTACAGGTGTGGAGGAAGCAGACTGTATCGAGGAAGCAGCAGTCTCTACATTTAATACAGTCCTTTTTAAGTCAGCATATGGTTCAAGGTGAAAGACTCAGGTCAGACTGAGACATACAAACTTAAGTCTAAAATCACAGATTGTCAGTCGAGCTGCATATGGAGTCACTTTGTTCGGAGAGGTCTGGAAACTTGAGCACTTTATCAGCATTGTGACTTTGGCTATAGTCGGTTCATTGCTATTCACCCGCTGTCCCATTATTATTTCATGGTGTGATATTGTGACCCCTGAACCCGGCCTCCTCCACCTGCAGCTGTGTCTCCACTCTCCTCCTGCCTGAGAGCTGCCACAGTCCCATGGCCTTGATCCTCGTTCTACAGCCTGAGTCCTGGATCTACAGCTCGTCTGGGGGCCTCCCTGAGCTTTCTCACTTTTTACCACTGAATTGTTTCGAATTTTTTCCATGTTGATGCAGAAATGTCTAATTACAGTCACAAACGGCTCTTTGTGTTTTTTATTGTTGCATTTGACGGATCTTTGTGGAGTCCTATCAGATAACTACTGTTGTGATTTAGGGCGATACAAACTTACCTTATCCCTTTAATGGTTCCGGATCAGCCTTTGAGTCTCTACATCTACTTGAAGCGACTCCCACTGATGACTGCTGTCGTTGTGTCCTTGGGCAAGACACTTAACCCCACTTTGCCCAAAGCCCCCACTGAAAGATCAAGGCTATGCTCACACTCAGAGAGCAGCCGTCCTCCTGTGGACTCACCACCTGCAGAGGGTCAGTGAGGGGCTGGTGCTATGAGACTTGGGTGGCATCTCTGATTGCCACCCCCCTGACCCAGAAATGGATTAAAGGGTAGAAGATGGATGGATGGATCTACTTGAAGCTTGGAACTGAACTCTTTGGGGCATCTCTGTCACTAGGTTTTAGTCCCCTTTTACCATCAGACTGTATCTACAGTAGTAGTAAGTAGTAAGTAAGTAAGTAATCTTTATTTATATACCGCCTTTTCACTGCAGATCTGAGTCTCAAAGCGGTTTACAATTGTTAATTTTGGGCATTTGTCTCTCACTCCACACAGAGATGGGAGCAGAGTCGCCAGTACAGGAGGCGCATGCCAGAACTATTGGACATATTTTTAGTGGTAGGGGAAACCGGAGTACCCGGAGGAAACCTACACAGACACGGGGAGAACATGCAAACTCCACTCAGAAAGGCCCTGGTCCGACCGGGATTCGAACCCAGGACCTTCTTGCTGAGAGGCGAGAGTGCTATCCACTCAGCCACCGTGCCGCCCACACCATTTACTACATCTTGAAAAATAAAAAAATAAATAGAAATTGACATTGCTTTCTTCAAAGGAGTGAACAATAAAGGGTTAAATTGAATGGAATACAGGATTACAATTCTATAGTAACTTGCTCAACACTGTGCTTTGAGCTTATTTGTATAGCACCAGGTTCCTCGACACAGTGTGACATCACAGACGAGTATCTAACGGGACAGTGTGGTAATGACCTGACATTTGGATACACAGAAGTAGAGAATGGCAGGATCGCAGCACACACTGCAGAGACGCCCACAGAAGAGTCTGGACACACACTTTCATGAGTCACCGGCTCAGGCCTGTTACACAACCTCAGACACCGCACACTTCTGCACAAAAGAACATCTGATCCTGGGGGAGTGGGACCTCTCGTCTTCGTGCCGCCTCTGATCTGTCCGCTCTGTGCTAATGTGGACTCTCGGGAGCGGCGTGCGGAGTGCCCTGGGGTTAGGAACGCCGTCTTCTCTGCTTCCCTTTTCTCTTTCAGCCTTTTGTAGCGAGACGAGCAGGGACGGAGTATTCTTCCACATTCAGAGGAATCAACAACGCTGTACGCATGATTGGACACTGATTATTATTATTACTAGGGATGTACCGATACCATAGGTTTGTACACGTACCATAGGTATGCGTACATATCCGATATCCACATTTTTACTTCACATTAGCGTCACGACAGCAGACAGCTGTGTTGCCATGGTGATCTCTTAAAGTCGGCAGCGAGAAAGCAAGCTACTGGCAAACGAGGTAGCAGTTAGCAGGTTAGCCGGTTAGCAGGCTAGTGGCAATCAGGCTAGCGACAAGCAAGGTAGCGGCAAGCGGACAAGATGTCGGCTGTATGGCAGTTTTTTTAAATTAAATAAGAGTGACAGGACTGTATGTTGTGTAAAACTGACACGAGGTTGGTCCAAAACAAACACCTGCAACTTGATAAAACCACCGCACAGAGAAAGCTTTGCTAGCACCGGAGCTATATCTTTGTACTATTTGTATGAATGGAATATGACAGTTATTTTCTTTTTGTTGAAATGATAAGATAAGATATTCTTTTATTCGTCTGAGAAATGAGAAATAAAACTTTAGTTGTATTAGTTTTATGAATTCCCGGAGATAACACACTACAGTACTCGTATCGGTATCGGTATCAACAAGTTTACTCAAATGAAGGTACTTGTAACGGTTTTGAAAAGAGTGGTTTTGGTGCATCTCTGATTATTACTATTATTATTGTCATTTCTCTCACTCACACTGTCCCCTGATGTGAAGTGGAGTGACGTTGGTGCAAATATTCGCTTGTACGTCTGTACTAGGGCTGGGACAACGCGTTGACGTAATCGTGACGTCGACGCAAAAAATACACCGACGTATAATATGCGCGTCGGTGCGTCACACACAAAACAAAGATGGCGGCGAGCGGTAGCAATGCGAGTGCCGTGTTATGCTGCGTTCAGACCAAACGCGATTTGGGCGGCGAGAGCGTCAGGATTACATTGACAATACATGGGGGACGCGCTTCAGGGAGCGGCGAGCGATCAAGCGGCGCGGCACGACCGGCACGCGCGGCGAGTCTTCAAGCGTTTTGAGCGATGTGAGCGGTGGATGCGATGTGAGCGGCCGACACTGGAGTTGAACATTGTTGAACTTTTTCGCTCAGATCGCGAGCGTCGACCAATCAGGAGCTTTCTCCAACAGAGACCAAGTGACGTCACGATAGGAGAAGACAAACATTCTACAACATGGAGGAGAAGCTGGTTGTTGCTGTCGCCGCTCACTCCGAGCTGTACAACCCCGCGGAGTACAGCTACCGTGACAGGCCAAAAAAGGACCTTGCTTGGAGGAGGGTTAGTGAGGATATTGGTGTCCCGGGTAAGTTTTCTCTAACTTTTACAACAGTATGTTTCCCCGCTAGAATTCTGTAATGTTCGAGCAACTACTAGCTTCCCGCTTACTTTCCCGCTCATGTTTTGATTCAGTGGATGTATGCAAAAGGCGGTGGAAGAGTCTGAGGGACACCTATGCAAAGGAGTGCAGGAAGGAGAAGGACAGGAGAAAGAGTGGTGCAGGAGCAGGGACAGCGCAGCAGTGGAAGTTCCTAACGGTCATGTCCTTCCTCGAGCCCTTCTTGTCTCCCCGTGAAAGCTCGGGCAACATGGCGAGGCGAGGGGCCGAGGAGGAGCCGGTCGTAGGGGACGACCACCCAGGAGAAGCAGCAGCAGCAGCAGGACTGTCAGGAGGTGAAGGTCTGTGTCATGCAGCAGACCTCAAACACCAATTATATCGTGTTTTTACCTCCATTTTGCTGGCTTTTACTTATATATTGATTTCTATTAATTAACTTATTTGACAGTTTGTTTTTAAATGACAGCCAGGTGAAACTAGGCTTTGCCTGTTATTTTTAAACAATTTTTGATCATGTGTGATGTGAAACTTCACTGTTCCCTTTCAAATGAACTAATGTAATGTATAAACCTCAACATACACATGCTATGAAATAACTGTTTGTTTTGTTCTTGCCTGACAGACAACACCACTCAAGGCTCAGATAACCCTTTGCCTGAGCCTCCTGCTGCTGCTGCTGCTGCTGCTGCTGCTGCTTCTTCTGTGAGGGCTGACGCTTCCCCTGCTTCTGCACCCACAGGTATTTTTTAATTTCTTAATATTACAGGACAGTGTTACTGCATAATACACCAACATTGTCCCAAAGGCTATTATATCACTATAGACCATAGACAAATGTACAGTGAAACCACAAGATGTCAAGGCACTACAGATGATGAGCATTTGTGCTTTGACCTGATCCAATGTATCTTTACTCGATAAAAACATAACACTAAAATACCACATACAAAAATGTACTGAACAAATACATGCAATGGTTGCCACAAGATGACCGCTATAGTGTTTGATGCTATCTTTATATTTTGTGGCGAACTATGTTTGACTTGTCAACATTCTCATGTCCCTGTGTTCTTTGAAGGCCCACAAAGGAAGAGAGCTCGGCAGAGGCCCACGACCTCAGAGCCGGCGGAGTGGGAGCGGGAGATCCTGTCGACTCTTCGGGCCAGATCAGCAGCCGCACCACCCCAGCCCTACTCTGACGACCAGCACTTCCTGCTCTCTCTCCTTCCTCTCCTGCAAAAGGTGCCACCTCAGTCAAAAGACTATGTGAAATTAGAAATACACAAATTGCTATATAGAAGCAGCACCGTTCTGCTTAATTTGGAACCATTGGACAGCACAGAGTCCGTAGTTTTTTGACTGAAGGCGACATCTTTTGCAGGGGAGGAAACAGACTTGTGTCCTTCCCTCTTCCACTGCTCCTCCTCCAAGCAAGGTCCTTTTTATTTGTTTATATGTACATTTTATTTATTTGTTTTGATGTACATTTTATTTGTTTGTATGTGCATTTTATTTATTTTTTATATTTGTATTATTAAAACATTTTTCAAAACACTAAATTGTTCTACTTAAAGCCCATTATTACAAAGTCATAAAATACTGACAAAAGGCTATTTCCATTAATTATATGTATTTAGCAAGAGCAGACTGGGTTTATAAAAGAAAAAATAACTTACAAAAACATAGGCAAGAGCGACAAAGTTGTTGACTGTATGTTTTATTCATTTCACCTGTTTGAACAACCTTATTTGGGACAAACTTGAATGTGCACGTTGTGATTCATCCGAAGTCAGATGGAGCAGTGCGGTCTGGCAGCCCTTACCTACAAACAGAAGGAATACAGGTGAACAGTTTGGACTTTGACCAGGAAACATGTCGACATTTTAATAATCAAGAGGCTCAGTATATTACATGTTTGAAATGAAGTGACTCTTAATTTTTTGTGGGTGGCTCTTAAAAGAGCCGTTGTGGGTCAGTCCTGTGGTGGACATGATTACTGCCATGGCACTGCTCCCTCCTCACTGAAGTGGGCCATGAAAACTTCTCTTGTGCCCACTGCTTCTCTGGTCGCGTTGTTGGCTCCCATCCGCAGCACACCTGGAAGTGGTGCTTCTCCATGAGCTGCAGCTCCCCTCTGTGCAGGCACCTGCCCATCTCCAGCCATCCTCATGAAGTTGTGAAGGACACAAGTGGCCTTCACGCACTTCTCCACAACTTCAGGGACAATTTCCAGCTGACGCCGAAACATTCTCCACTGCGCTGACCATATGCCGAACGCATCCTCCACCACCAGCCGGGCCCGGGAGAGGCGGTAATTAAATATGCGCTGCTCTGGGGTGAGGCCACCACGTCCTGGGAAGGGGCGCATTAAATTCCTTTGCAGGGGAAAGGCCTCATCCGCCACAAAGACATGGGGCTGGGGTCCTCTGTGGTCAGCTCCAGTTATGAGCTGGTCAGGAGGCAGGCCGAGTGTGCCCTCACGCAGAGCCTGACCGAAGGCAGAGTTGGCCATGATGCCTCCATCGCTGGTTCTGCCGTACCCTCCCACATCGATGACCCGAAACCTGTACTGGGCATCCACTACAGCAAGGAGAACCAACGAATGGTGCCCCTTGTAATTAAAAAACAAGGACCCAGAGTTGGGGGGTGCCTTCAGGGCCACATGTTTCCCATCAATGGCACCACAGCACAGAGGGAAGTTCCACCTGGCCTCGAACTCCTCCGCTATCGACCTCCACTCCTCTGCTCCAGGCACAGCCATGAACTCTCCCACGAGGCAGTCCCAGATGGCTGCCACCACATCTGGGATGAGCCCGGAGACAGTGGAAATGCCCACCCTGAAGCTCCCTGCGATGCTCCTGTAGGAGTCCCCAGTGGCAAGAAATCTGCAAATAATATTGTACATAACAATTAAAAATAAGATAATGTATGTGACTAGTCTTGATATTCAATATAAAATTAGTAACAAGCAGACGCCATATTGTTAAATATAGTAATTTCTGAGCTATTCAAATGTGAATAGGTAGAAAAATTGCACACTTTGGAAGTATTTAATAATTGAGAATGGGGTAAAACTACCGTAGGCAGATGGACAGGCGCTCTTCAGGTGGAATTGAGCGCCTGTAGTTGGTGTCCTGGTAGGTGATGCGAGCACCGATGCGGGTCAACAGGTCGTCAAACTGGGCCAGGGAGAGACGAAAGTATCGCTGAAAGCGACTCTCATCCGAGCGCAGCTCTTGTAGCAAATGGTGAAACTCACCAAACTCCCTACGCCCGCGGACAATCGGATGAATCCACACACGTCGCCGTTGCGCCCTTTGACGACGTTGTCTAGCACGGTTCAAAAGGCAAAGCAAAGCTACCTGCTCTGTGTCGTCCATGTTGAACTATGGCAATAGAGAAGCCCCTCCCCAAAGCGCGCTGTTTTCTGATCGGCCGCGCGTGCCGCGCGGCAGAGTGTTTGGTCCAGCGTCTGGAGTCAAAAAGCACAAGCATTGCGGCACGCGCGGCACGGGCGATTTCGCCGCCCAAATCGCGTTTGGTCTGAACGCAGCATTAGAGAAGTGCAAGCCGGTGTAACGCTGAGATACACTGCCTTGAAGAGATGCACAGCCTCAGCTGTTTATCATGT